ATCTGCAAATAATGACCCTTTAATTTCTTCCTTTTCAGTGTGGATGCCTTCTATTTTTGTTGCTGTTGTTGTTGTTGCCTGACTGCTGTGGCTAGGACTTCCAGAATTATGTTGAATTAAAGTGACGGGAGTGGGCATCCTCAATTTGTTCTTGTTCTTGGAGGAAAAGCTTCCAGCTTTTCAGAAGTGAGTATGATCCTAGCTGTGGGCTTGGCATCTATCGTGGCCTTCCTTATGTTGAAGTGTGTTTCCTCTATACCCATTTTGTTGGTTGGGTTTTTATCCTAAATGGATATTGACTTTTGTCAATACTTTTTCTGCACCTATTGAGATGATCCTATGATTTTTTTCCCCTTCATTTTGTTAATGTAGTGAGTGTATCATATTGGGTTTTCTGTGTGTATTTTGAACCCTCCCTGGAATCCCATTCCACTCAGGACCTGGTGTGTGATCCTTTTAATGTACTGTTGAATTTGGTTTGCTGCCATTTTATTGAGGATGTTTGCATCTGTGTGCATCAGGGCCACTGACTGGCCTGTGATTTTTTTCTTGTGGCATCCTCACCTGGTTTTGGTATCTGGGTAATGCTGGCCTTGTAAAATGGGTGTGGAAGTGTTCCCTCCGCTTCTATTTTTGGGAAGCATTTGAGGAGGACTATTAGTTCTCTGACTGGTAGGACTCACCAGTGGAGCCGTCTGGTTCTGGACTTTTGTTTGTTGGAAAGTGTTTGGTGAACTGACTCCATCTCCTTACTAGTAGTTGGTCTGTTCACTTTCTAGATCTTCATGATTGTCTTGGTAGGTTGTATGTTTTTAGGAATTGATTGAGCTCTTCTAGGTTGTCAAATTGTTGGAATATAATTGTTCATAATAGTCTCTTTATGATCCTTTGTATTTGTGGTATCCATTGTAACTTTTTTTCTTTTTAAATAAGCTCTAACACCCAACATGGGGCTTGAACTCATGACCCTGAAGAGTCCCATGCTCTATCAACTGAGCCAGTCAGGTGCCCCTTCCCTCCCCCTTTTTAGCTGTAACATTTTCTTTTTTTTTTTTTAAGAGATTTTATTTATTCATGAGAGACAGACAGAGAGAGAGAGAGAGAGGCAGAGACACAGGCAGAGGGAGAAGCACGCTCCGTGCAGGGAGCCTGATGTGGGACTCGATCCTGGAACTCCGGGATCACGCCCTGGGCTGAAGGCAGGCGCTAAACTGCTGAGCCACCCAGGCGTTCCCCGGTAACATTTTTCATTGAGCATTCTCTCAGGAAATCTAACTAAAGGCTTGTCAGTTTTATCTTTTTAAAAGAACTAGCTCTTAAAAAAAAGAAAGAAAAAAAAAAAGACTAGCTCTTAGTTTCATTGATCTTTTCTGTGTCTTTTTGTCTCTTTCTGATCTTTGGGATTTCCTTTCTTCTTCTAACGTAGGGCTTCATTTGCTCTTTTCCTAGTTCTTTAAGGTTAAAGGCAAGTTGTTTATTTTAGTTTTTTTCCTATCACTTTCCCTCTTTGAACTGCTTTTGCTGCACCCCATATGTTTGGTACATTGTGTTTCCATTTTCATTTAAGGTATTTTCTGATTTCTCCCTTGACCCATTGGTTGTTCAGTAGCATGTTATTTACTCTCCACATACCATTCTGGCTGGAGAAGATGCTTGATATGATTTCAATATTCTTAAATCCATTAAGACTATTTTGTGGCTTAATATTTTATGTACCATGGAGAATGTTCCATGTTTGAGAATGTGTATTCTGTTGCTTTTGGATGGAACGTTCTGTTAAGTCCATCTAGTCTAATATGTCCTTTAAGTCTGATGGTTCCTGATTGATTTTCTGTTGGATTATGTATCCATTGATGTGAGTGATGTACTTAAATCCTGTATTCTTCTATTGCTGTTCTTGTCCCTTTTTTTTTTTTAAAGATTTTATTTATTTATTCATGATAGTCACACAGAGAGAGAGAGAGGCAGAGACACAGGCAGAGGGAGAAGCAGGCTCCATCCAGGGAGCCCGACGTGGGATTCGATCCCGAGTCCCCAGGATCGCGCCCCGGGCCAAAGGCAGGCGCCAAACCGCTGCGCCACCCAGGGATCCCTGTTCTTGTCCCTTTTTAGGTCTATTAGTATTTGCTGTGTATAAAGGTGTTCCTATGTTGGGTACAAAAGTATTTACTATTGCTATATCCTCTTTTTTGGAGGACAAAGGTCTCACTTAAGACTTGTGATGCTAGCGATAAGTGAGTCTTCAAGAATTGGTTTTTAATTGTTGACTATGTAGGAACATATTCAATTTTTTATCAGACTGTACTGCTAACTACCTTGGAAGATTCTATTTTCTTTTTAAGAGAGCGCACAAGGTGGGAGGGAGGGAGGGAGGGAGGGAGGGAGGGAGGGAGAGAGAGAGAGAGAGAGAGAGAGAGAGAGAGAGAGAGAGAGAGAGAGAGAATGAGAATCCCAAGAGCAGGCTCCATGCCCAGCACAGAGCCCAATGAGGGTCTCAGTCCTACAACCCTGAGATCATCATCTGAGCTGAAATCAAGAGCTGAATGCTTACCTGACTGAGCCACCCAGGAGCCCCTAAATTTTATTATAAGTTGGCTCTATGCCCAACTTGAGGCTTGAACACATGACCCTGAGATGAAGAGTTGCATGCTCTACTGTGCCAGCCAGGCAGCCTGGTAAATTTTCTTGGTAATCTTGTTATTTTTCTTTTCCTGCAACATTGGCTAGGATCTCCAGCACAATGAATCAAGTGATAGTAGGATCCTTAACTTATTCTTGTTTTTAAAGGAAATGCTCTGAGTATTTTAACATTAAGTATAACATCTGCATAGGATTTTGTAATGTAACTTTTATCAGATTAAGGAAGTTCTTAATTTCTATCTAAGAGTTTTAAACAAAAATTATGGGTGTTGCATTTCTAACAAAGACCTGACTACTGAGGTGATTTTATGGTGGTGTTCCTTTGTTAATATGGTACATTCAGGAGCAGCTAGGCCATGTGAAAATTTATAAACCGTCAAGTCTCAGTAGGTTAGTTAGCACAAGTTCATTTTTTTATTCATGTAAAGTCTAGTATGGGGCAGTTGGGGTGGTCTCAGTCTGGTTTCTCTCTACTTGGAACTCTGCCACTTCAACATCTGGAATCTAAGTGTGTCACGGTGGGGAAAGAGTGAGCAGAAGGGTGGCACACATGCTGAGTTCCCAGCCCCAGTGACATGTATGTGGCCCCTCAGACCTCATGGACCTGCCTGCAGGGGGGCTGGGAAGCAGAGTCTCTCCTGTGCCCAGGAAGGAGAGGTGCACCAGATGGGGGCAGCCAAATAAGGTGTCTAGTACATTCACCAGCTTACTGATAGTCCATCCTTGCATTTGAGGGTAAACCCAGCTTGTTTAGGGAGTACTGATTTTTATACGCTGCTGGTTTGAGGTTGCTAAGATTATTTTAGAAGTTTTACACAAATATTTGCCTACAATTTTCCTTACTCTTATCTGGGTTTGATGTCAAGACTGTATTTCACTCCAGACGAGTCAAGAGGTGTTTCCTCTTCTGTTCTCAGGGGCAAGCATGTAAGACTAAAGCTACTTGTTTGGCATGAATTGCTGGTAAGCCTGTCTGGACTTGAAATGTCTATGAGTGGATTTCAAATCAGACTGACTTAATTTCTTTAATGTCAAGTACCTCCTCTCGGTAGCATTTAGCATGGCTGGAATAGTTCACTGGTGGGGATTTTCGGTTAAGAGGGCTGAATGACGTAAACTGGCCTACAGAATGCTAAGGACCCAGGATCTCTGTGTGTGTGGCGCACGTGTAAATGATGACACTGGCAGAAGCCTGCCTGACCCTGTACCAGGGATTAACTCACTGAGCCGCCTCAGACCTATGAGGTAGAAGCTGTTGTTATCTCTCTCCTAGCCCCTGGAACACCAGGACGCAGAGAGGGGGCCACTTACCTAAGGTCACTTCGCATATCAGCTGCAGAACCAGGACCAGAGCCCTTAGTAGCCTAGGGTGAAGGCCCTCCAGTATGTCCTGGCAAATGCAGGACCAGAATGACCCAAACCCTCCCCGACCAGGTTCCTAAATCATGTACCCCTAGTGAACAAAACAAATTGATGAATGAGTGATGGTTTAAATGAATGTGTAGGGTTTGCCTCTCACTCTGCTGGAGGGAATGGGGTGGGGGTCATCACACCCCGAGAAGACTGGCCCTGTACCACCCAATGGCTGAGATCTGAATGGGGTGGGGGCGAGAGAAGGGTCATTCACAGGTCACCTGAGCATCCTGAGTTTTGCTGGGTTAAGTATGCAGATTCCTAGTCCCCTCTGAAGGTGGCAGTGGAACCCAGGCATTTAGCCAGGGTGGGTGGTAGCAGCCATGCCCTGTGGTTCTGGTTGGCAAGCTCAGTTCAGATGTCTGTACCTGGCCTGTGACCTTCCAGTCACCTGCAGGGAGCTGAGGGCCACACCAGGCTGGTTCTTGGTATAGGCAGCTACTAGAGGACTCAGCAGCTGATGGCCCTACCTCTCAGACACTGGGAGACAGGCAGGATGGCAAAAGGGGATGACACACAGGCTGGGATTAAGTCCAACGGCTCATCATGAGTGGAGGAGCCATAGCCCATATCAGACAAAGAAAAGATTGGAACCCATTGGGCTGTTTCCAAGCCTGTGCATGCTGCCTTGGGGTGGTATGGGGATGGAATTATAAAGGTGTATCTTCAGACATGCTTTAGGGGCTTTGAAAAGTAGCTCTAGGTACCTCTGTGACCCCAAATGCCACCCTAGAAACGGATGCTAGGGGGCAGTAGAGGATTAGCGCAGTAATCGAGCACAAAACTGAGGAGGGAAAATTCTAGACAGGCTGGTGGCCTCTGTCCACCCTTCCCAAACTCCCCTAACAGTAGCACTCGGGTGTGGGAACTGGGATACACGACCTGCACCCTAAGTGTGCCAGAGCCCCGCCTGTGAGGGGGGGGCAGCTCCGATTGTCACTTGGACGCAGCTTTCATTGGTGTTTATTTTCCTTTCATATAAAAGTTACAGGTTTGAAATGTCTGCAGGAAGATGCCACTATCAGCCAGGTTAGTGGGAATATATATATATTACAATGTAACACGGGGGAGGTGTGGGGGAAAGGGAGGTGCTTCTGAAAAGTTGGGTTCGTTCTGACCTGGCATGTGCCTGCCCTTTCCCTGGCTCCAGCCCCATCTGCAGGTAATACCCTGTCCTGATCCCCAAGACAGATGGATCACAGCCACACTGCAGTGCTGGCACGGGGTTGGGCAATCCCAGAACCTGGACGGTGTCCTAAGGAGGTGGAGGATGGGAAGCCTGTCAGCCAATAAGTTAAACACATACGGCCCCTGTGGTTCTCACCCAGAGGCCACCCTGACACACCAGCCCCTTGTTCCCTTACCCAACCCCCCACCCCGGCACTGCCTCCTTCCACCTGGCAGGGCTCCCAGAGGAGAGGGGAGGGCAGGTAAAGGCCCCTCTACTCCTACATCCACCTGCTTACAGGTGTGTGAGGCAGAAACTCCACTTTAGTATTGGCGCCCCAGCAGCCCCCACACACAAAGCAGCATCCAGCAGAACTGGGTCAGGCGCGAGGCAAGACAGGACAAGACGGCAGTGAGGGGACTCAAAGTGGGCACCAAGCCCACCCCAGCACTGCTGAAGAACCTCGACCACACGCTTTAAATAAGAAAGTGACACATTCGGCCTGCTGCAGCCAGATTGCTGCCAGAGGGGGCATCGCTGGCCCTTCATGGATCTTCTCCCCTCTATGTACAAGACCCCAAAACAAGAGTGAAGAAAGCCGCTCAAAACCTATGAAGGTCTCAGAGTGACATGGTTAAGAAGCTGGATCCTGGCATTTGTCCAGAAGTGAGCACTCAGTCACACAAACCAGGACCCATGGGGCAGGGGGTGGGCAGCAGCCTGGAGGGGACTTCCAGGCAAACCTGCCTCTGACTGTCCACCTTACCAGCGAGCATGGTTTCCAGTGAAGAGGATGGAGAGAGCAAGCCTGCCCTGGGGTAGGAGCCATGGCCCCCTCCATAGCCACGTCGACCCCAGCCCCCTTGGGGACATCCCATCCTCCCCTGGGCAGAGCCCACAGCACTGGTGGAGAGGCCTGAGGAGCAGTTCCTGGCTCCAGCGGGATGGAGCAAGGTAGGAGGGGAGCCCATGGGGCAGGGGGACAGAAGCTGGAGTTTAAGGCACACAGGAAGTGATGGAGGAGGGGCCGCTGGCCTTCCCCAGGACAGAAGTGCCCCTCCACTCTCCGACATAACTCACCCAGGAGCTCTTGGCCCCAGCTCATAAACCGAAGTCCTCCCTTGCTCCATCTTCTTCCCAGCTCCCCAGAGCGACAGGTGGTCAGGGAGACGAAGGGACAGGGAGAGGGCAGTTTGGAGCACCGGCTCCAGGGCTACTGAAAGGCTACCGGCTGAACCTTTCTGGCCCCAACCAAAGCTCACACCATCTTGCATTTTAAAAAGCAGGGCAGGGCAGGGAAAGCTAAAGGAGCCTCCCTGGGTCTTCTCTGCTTTCTGCCCACTCCACTGAAAGTCCCTTTCGTTCGAAGTCACCAGGAGTACAGCCCCCACTGACCTTTTGAGGGTCTTCCACTCACTTGTCATTTCAACAGACCCAGGACCCTGGAACTTAAGAAGGGGTGAAGAGTCCCACCGTTCCATGGTCTGCTGACTGCCCTGTGCTGCTCCCAGGCAGAAGGTGGGAGAGGGGAATACAGAAGTGAAAGCAGAAACCAAAACCAAAACCAAACCACGGGTTCACAAATCAGGAACAAGACCTGCCTGCTGGCTCCGCTGCGGGCCTGGCGTCCGCTCCCACGGAGGAGGGAAGCAGGAAGCTGCTGGGGCTCCTGCCCAGCACAGTGGAGGGTGGGCTGGGCCCTGGGGCCGGCACCCGTGCAGCCCACCCGGGGACAGGTCCAAAGTCCCTCCCGGTCTCAGAGCCTCTCTTGAGCGTTCTCCTCGCTCGCGGCACCTGCTTCTAGGTCTTCTCCTCTCGGTCTGTTTTTCTCCTTGTTATGTTCCTAGGTTTGATTTTCAGAGAGAGTTCCCACAGAGCCTCCTCCGCCAGGTGGTCACTGAAGTCATTGAAGAAGTTTATGATGTCATCGTTTCTTCGGATATCATAGTGCCTGTGGGGGGGGGCCTCCAGTCAGGGCCAGCAGGGGCCAGAAACCTCCCCGAGGGGCCACGTGCATCATCCCAGCTACCGGAGCAGGCCCTGGACAGTGGGGCTCCTCATAGGGGGAGGGCTTGCTGCAGCATTCTGGGCGCCCTTCTACATGCTGCCCCAGGAAGACCCCATCTCGCAAGCCCATGTCCTGCAGGCTCCCAGTATGTAGTGTGCAGAGAACAGGCTGGCCACCATCTCGGGGTGCAGACCCCATTCCTCTGCCACGCCCCCCTCACTCCTTCATCACCTCCCCTCTCTCTGCTTGGGGGCCAGGTGCTGAGGGCTCCGGTGTGGCCCCAGCCCTGCCCCACAGGTGGCAATACTCACGCTTGTTGGAAGCACCGCATGCTGTCCAGAATGTTGAACTGCTGCCACCGTTTGGAAAAATTCACCTTCCCGTCAATATAGTCTGGGTTTCCCAGGTGAACAAAGGTGAGGTCCTGCAGGATAAGCCCCCTGGGAGGATGGAGAAGTCCAGTTACTGCTCCAGAAAGCACATCTGGCATCTGTTGGTCTCTTCCAGTGTGAACTCCTGACCTAGAAACTGTGGGTCCCTGGGAAAGCCAGCTCTGCTATGAGAGCCTTGTAAAATTAATAAATGAACAACAACAACAACAAAAAAACAAACCCAAAACTTGAGAGGGAGGCATGGGGGGATCTTCTCTTTGGTACAAGTACTTCTCACTAAAGAGGATGTGAAGCCATAGGGTGAGTGACGGGGCTCAGATGACACACTCAGGAGCCCAGCTGTCTACCCTTGAGGGGGAAGCAGTGAGGGCAGAAAGGCAGGGGACTTAAAGGCAGCCCCCACCGGGCCACTGCAGAGTCTTCTACCCCTTTATGGAGATTCTCAATTATCTGCCAGCTTATTAAGGGCTCTGGTAACAGACCTGTGTAGTTTTGACCCTGTCCACTATTTCCTTGCTATGTGACTAAGGTTGTTTTCCCCAAACCCATTTCCTCCAGTCCATGGCTCACACGTGGGCAAACACTCTCAGGGCTCCTGGGTGACTGGTGGTAGGGCCCTCAGCTCACTGTAAGGTGCAGCCAAGCTGAGGACCCCTAGGGTTTGGGGCCAGGGAGGGGGGAGAGAAATCGCCCTCCTGGCGGAGGAGGGAAGGAAACAGATGTGGGACTGGGAGATGGGAGAGTAGGACCATTTTCACCGGACCCTTCCTTTCTGTTTAGAAATAAAACACACTCCTCATTACACAGTTTAAAAATATAACTGTCTAAGCTGGAAATCTACAAGGGAGGGTTTCTCTATCTACACACATGTCTCGCCCAGAGCCCCCGGGGGCTGGTCTATGTGGGCTGGAGTGGGGTCTCTACTTACAGGTATGGGATGCAGGGCGGCTCCACCTCGGACAGGGCGGCCCGGTAGGCGCGGAAGGAGGACGAGCTGTCGATCAGTGTACAGTACTCGGCCAGGCCCTGGGCAACAGGGACAGCGTGTGAGGGCCGGGATGGTGCTCGGGCACCAGTTCCAACCTCCTCACTGACCAAGCCCTCACCCAGCACCCCAGAGATAGCCCTGGGCCCTGCCTGAGAGACCAGGCCTTCTATGGAGAAACTGCCCCCAGGACTGCTTGTGCGTGCTGCAGAACCACAGCTCTGAGCACCTCATGCCCACTGTGGGTACCGGGGCTGGAGCTTGGCCTCCTGCAGGGTGCCAGCCCTGGCTCCAAGTCTGCCTTGGCTCCCCATCACACTCAAGACATAGCTATCTAGGCGTGGTAGGGGATCTCAGCAAGGTGCCACTGCTCCCTTCTGCATGCGATGTGGGGTTCTGGCCAGTCCCATTCTCTGTTTGCCCATCCCCGTTAGCTGCCTCTCACCCTGGTGTGTCATCTTCTCAGGACCTCCCCGGTGCTTCAGCGGCAGCCACGGTGAATATCCCACACTTCTCCATACAACAGTCTTACCCTTGAGATAACACCTGGGTGGCCCAGCGGACACCCAACCCCCATGAGAGCTTTGCCTCTCTTCTCAAGGTACTTCTCCAGGCCACCCCAAGGCCCTCATGGTCCAGAGCGGGTCTCCTCCCCAGTGACATGGCCACGCCGGCGTCTGTCCGGCTGCTTGAGGAACATTCTTCTGTTGCCTCTGACAGGAATTCCCGTCCTTCCCAGGAAATACTTCCTGTGTGGGTCTTGGTGGATTGATGCTTCCTCAGGGGATCCCCCTGACCCTAGAATGGGCAGACCACCCCATCCTTTCCCCTTTGGCAGTTAGCCTAAAGAAATCATCTAACAGGTCTGGCCTGTTCAAAGCATGTCCCCAAGGACTAATGCAGCCCTTAGCCCAGAGCAGCCCCTGCAGAAGCATGGGTGCAAGGAAGGAAGGCACCAGTGAGCAGGGACCCAGGTACAGGCCTGAAGCCCAGGTGGGAGGACCCTATGAGTGGACGACCCCAGCACCAACCATGAAGTCCCTCTGGGCCCAGAGATGGGAGATGGGCTACAGCAACCAATGTGGGGGTGGCTGGCCACAGAGCAGAAATCTGAGTACCTTCCCCAACAGCTGGCTTGCCAGGGGCCAGGTGGGCCTCCCGCCTCCTCCTTCCCAGCCACTCACCTCTGAGGTCTGCTTCTGCCACTCTAGCCTGCGGATGGGAGCTGAGTCCAGTGCCGAGAGGATGGCCAGGTAGGAGTTAAAGTTGTTCAGCTTCCGTAAGTGCTATGGAGAGAGGTGAGGAGGCCGTGAGGTAGGCCTGGGGTCTCTGAGCAGGGCCTGAAGGAGCAGAGTCTGGGGAGGGCATCCATGGTTTACCTTCATGATCTTTTTTTTTTTAATATTTATTTATTCATAAGAGACCCAGAGAGAGAGAGAGAGGCAGAGACACAGGCAGAAGGAGAAGCAGGCTCCATGCAGGGAGCCTGAGGTGGGACTTGATTCCAGGACTCCAGGATCAGGGTCTGGGCTGAAAACAGGCGCTAAACTGCTGAGCCACCCAGGGATCCCCCTACCTTCATGATCTTGATGAACTTCAGTAGCAGCCGCTCCCTGTCCTGGGCTTTTTCTTGTAACATGATTATTGACCGGACCCTGCATGAACCAAAGGGGAAAAGATTGCTGAGCTGACCTAAGGGGTCCTGGTGGAGAGGGATGTGGACACCTGCACCGCATGCCCACGGCTTCCGAGGTGCCAAGTACAGCCCTTGCCTCTGCTCTTGGGGAGCTCAAAGCAATCCCAGGGACAGGCCAAGAAGTTACATGGCATGAAGGGGATGCCTGGCTGTGTGTGCAGATGGAGGCTTTTGGAGTACCAAAGTAGAGATTTCCTGACAAGTGCTGACCAAGCATCACAGGAGCTCTTCCCATGGCCTCAGGACTAGCTCAGGAGCCTGTGGGTTAGGAAGCCATCTTGAGAACCAGAGCAGCAACTAAGAAGCCAGCCTTGCACGAGGACCTCACTGTGGGCTGGAGCCATTGCCAGTCCACTCAGAGGGAGTGCTGTTTCTGCTTTGTCTTTGGCTCCACTGAGGGGTACCTGCCCTTAGCACACCCGGAGGACCATGGCTCTGAGGGGGGGGGTGTGTGCCCAGCAGGGGGCTGGGTTGGAGGCTGGGCTCAGGGCTGTGTGCAGTTTCCGTCTGCCCTACACGCCATTGTGTCCTATGGTAGTTTGCTATGGTCAAGCTCACGTTGCTGAGGAGCAAAGCACTTCATGCAGTGGGGAGAAAAGCCAGCAAAGAGGGAGATGACCCAAGTTTCCTTCGACAAACAGTCCTTGAAGCATTTAAAAAATGTTAGACGTCAGTGGCAGTAGTGAACTGGGTGTAGGGTGGGGTTGGGCACAGTGTGGGGCTGTGTGGCTGCTATGCTCTGACTATCCTTGGTTCATGCTGAGAGACTGTGGGCACCTTTAAGTCCCATCTTGAAAAGCTAACTATTCTGTTTCATATTATAGTATAAACATACCTTTAGGCTTCATTTTTCTTTAAGAATTCAGGCCTAATTAAAGTATTAACAGAATGTACTCTTTCAGGCAGAGAGCAGGTGATGTTCAGCCCTGAGGCTGCCTGGTGTGTGTGGGGGGGCTGTGATCAGTGCAGGATGGCACAGTCAACACCCCTGCCTCTGCTGCCATCTATGGCAGACACTACTAATCGATCCTGGCACTCCTCCTGGTCTCAGACTCCTCAACTAGCCCTCTAGGCGGCAGCCCATCCAGCGTGCTCTCTGCTGCCTGCAGTTCCCAAGTAATGCCCAGGGCCTTGGAAGAAGCTGGGAGGAATGAAAATGGCATCTCCCCTTTGCCACTGGAGTGCTCTGTGAAGGAGAGCATGGGAACCCAGCCAGATGTGCTACGATAGAGAACTGGGGCTTTGCACAGCCACTCCTTACCAGTACGACATGTTGTTGAAGTGCTCCGTGAACTGGGTCAAGTTGGGGCTTTTCTCCTCATTCTGTTCTTTTGCCCAAAGCAAAACCTCAGGAATCTGAAAAGGGAAATAGATTGGCTGGAGCTGGGGCCCTCTGGCTGCCCTGCGATGGGTAGTTTCTCCTCCTTAGGGAAAGGAAGCAGCTGTTCACCAGGGGCAAAGGACAGCCTTCTCCCGAGCCCCACTTAACGCCATACCTCTATTTTATAAAAGAGCTCAGCATCCAGCAGTGTCAGCTGCTCGGCTATTTCATGGCTGTGAAAGTCATGCAAAGTCCCTGGCCTGGAAGACAGAGGAATGAGATGAGCAGTTGGGACAGGGACGGCAGGGGCTGGCTGACTGCCTTTCTGCAGCCTCAGAAGCTGGCGCCAGAGGGAGCAGCTGCCCCAAGCCTTGCTTCACAGCAGGAGGATGGCAGCTTCAGAGCTGATCAATGGCAGGGCAAGACGAGACCGCACTCCTGCTGGTGACCATGGTGCCTCTGCTGGGTGGGTCCCGTGGCTCCCATGGACAACTGTGCTGCCAGAGAATGCAGCCTGACCCCACTGCCGGGGCCCAGTGGCAATAGAGATGGTACCACAGAGATGAAGGCTCACACTCGATGACAAACAAGCCCATATACAGGTTCTTAGGAATGCTCAGGATGGCATGGGGGCTGGTCAAGAATTCACAGCTGCCACGTTAGTGCTGGGAAGACAAGAGCTAACCACAGCCCAGAATGTATTTGCCTGTCTCAGTAAGTGACCCCCTCCACCAACCCCTGGCCTTGCCTCCTCACTTCCTGGTAAAAAGTGTTTTGTTTTGTTTTTTTAATTCAATTAGCAATAATTGAGCCTCAGATAAACCTCACTGGCTTCAATACTGCCACTGTGCAAAGCTTTATTTTTATTTGTTTGTTTGTTTATTTATTTATTTTTTAATCACACATCATGACCCTGGAGAAGAGGCCCAGCCCCTGGGGAACTCATTGGGCTGTCCATAAGACACCTCATCGTAGAGCCTGGCGGGAACAGGACTAGGGAGGGACACTAGGGTGAACGGAGTGGAGAGATAGCTACCAGGCACAACTCCTGCCAGGGGTGGGCTGGAGAAGCCATGGGGTGGGGGGGGTGGGGGGGCGGGGGGGGCAGCTGGTGGCTCACCTGGCAGCTACCCCCCTGGCTGCCAGGGGCTGGTCGGAGTTGGCACACCTGAGCAGCTTCTTCTGGTCCACCTTGTCCAGGATGTTCTTCCGGAGCACGCGGGCCAGGCTGAGCTCCCCGTTGCACACCAAGCGAAAGACCAGTTCCATGAGCAGCTTCAAGATCTCTTCTGTCAACTCCACTAGGCTAGAGGAGCAAGGGCCACACAGTGAGGGCACAGGGACACAGCACAGGAAGAGGACTGCTGCCACTGGGCCCAGAATCCACCTTAGAATACCCGAGGGTCACGTGGCAGGGACCAGCAGGGCTAGGAGACCTCTTAAAGGAAGAGAGTAAGAAAAGGTGTCTGGACGGCTGCCTGTATCCTTGGAAGCCCCGGGAGTAGTCCCACTAGTGACACGTAACTGCCATGCTCTCAGCAAGTGCTCACTGGCATTGGACAAGCACCAGGGCACACCTTAGGGCCTGGGCTACCAAGACAACCCCATTCAAATCCTGCCCTGGGGGAAGCCCCTGGCCCCTCTGACCAGCTGCCCGCAGGACCCTCCTGACTTCCCTCCACACAAGGCTTTCTGTAAATGCCGGTCTCACGGCTGTGCCTTCTGGGGCCGAGGCCAGCCTCCCCTCAGAAGGGAAATGCCTTGAAGGAGGGGGCCTGTGGTTTCCTTCATCCTGGCTCTCCAGACCTAGGAGAGGGACTGGCTGGATGCGCACTTGTTAAGTGAATGGTAATAGTGGGTGCTGAGTCAGGGCCGGGGGGCTGGGTGCACGGAGCTGAGGAGAGCAGGAGGGGGCTGCCATGGCTACTGGTGTGTGAGGGATGGCCTCCACGAGGAGACCGGCATGGCTCGTGGCTGGATCATTCTCTCCAATGGTCTTGTTCAGGTGGGCAGGAGCAAGCTGGATCCAGAGCTGCAGGGGTCTCTGCGGATACCCGGCCCAGGAGAAGCAGATGGAATGAACCAGGATGCCCCAATCTCAGCAGGGAAACCTGCAGCCCCAGTGGGGAGTCCTGGGGTGCCTGAGGCCCCCTGCCACCTCGTGGGCAGAAGCACTCACCAGAGCTCATCCACCACTCGCACCAGCACGAAGAACGTGTTCTTGCTGACGCGCTTCTTGAAGGTGTCGGCGAAGGGAGAGAACTTCTCGTACGTGAAGTGTAGGTTAGGGAAAGCTATTCTCATGTGAGCAGGGATGGGGTGATGGGAGGGGAGGGTGAACTTCTCCCCATTGCCAATTACCGGGTGCTTGTGATGTGCAGAAACCCTGGGAGTGAGATACCCTCCCCCGCAGCCATGCCTGCAGGACCACTTCCCCTGTGCCCCGAGGCCCTGCCTTTCTGTCAGTTCCCACCAAAGCTTCCTGTGGGACTTACTGAAATGCCACAGGCTGCCTGGCTGAGGCTCAGGTGGAAAAAGGTGGTTAAAAACCACATGCCCTAAAGCCCCTGGTCTCTGGGGGAGGTGCTTCCGGCACTCTTGCCTTAAGTTCCCTCCCAGAGTCTCTGGGTGGCTTCAGACGCCCCCACCCCTCAGCAGCCACACACCTGGCCACCTCCAGCTCTTCCCCAAGGTCGTGGTCTCTGCCCAGAGGGCATAGATTCTTGCCATCCTCTTGTGGTCACCATGGACTCTCCAGACCCTGCTCTGGCTTGTCCTTCCTGCTCTCCAGAGATCTCTGGGTGCTCATGAAGGACCCTCACACCAAGGACTGTCCCCAGAGCCTGCTGCAGAGTGGGTGCTGGGAACTTGAGCTCAGGAGTGTGTGCTGTGTGCATAGGGTGGCCACTCTCCCACCAAACTGCCGGTCACTTACTCTCTCTGAGCCTGTTTCCTGGATCATGAAATAGGCAGTAATATAAAGGCATATATAACATGGTAATGATATATCAAGTGGTTTTATAGCTGAGTGAGCCTTCATGTGCATGGGCTTTGCATCATGCGTGTGAGAGTTACTATCACCTGCAGAGCCAGCAACTGTGAGCAACTGAACATGTGATGTGAGGCTGTAGGGAATGTGTCTCTGCAGTGGGGACTGTCCACTTCAATTCTGAGGGACGAGGTCCTCTAGGGCTGGGGCACGGGGACAGTGAAAGGAGCGACAGAGGGTCAGAGGATGCAAGAAGCCGAGCCTCAGGGCACACAGAAAAGGGAGACAGCCTGGAGGACTCAGACTTCCTGCCCCAGGCACAACAGCTGTCCAACAGCAGTTACGGGCTGTAATGGGGGAGGTGGCCTGGAACAGGGGACCAGGGGCTGGCCCACTGTTTAGAGCAGCTGCTCAGGTTAGCCTCCACAGGAGGGGCAAGTTTGAGAGGAAGTCCATGACAGTGGGTCCTAGGGCCTGGGGTCTTCCTTGACTGCTACTGCACAGAGTCATCCTTGAAAGGGTGAGCCCGTGGGGCTGTACAGTTGAAGGGTAGGAGCAAATTGGGTCTGGACGTGGTCTTTTTGTCCACTGCTGCATCTGCCACCAGGCGGAGTGGCTGTGGCCTTCCCTGAGGCTGTTGAGTCTTGACTCCCTTAAGCCCCACACACTTGGGACTCATCACCTCAATGGCCTGGGGCTCAGCTAGCAAGCTACAGATGCTGGTGACCTGGGTCTCTGCCGGGGTCTTTGTGTTCCCTCTGTCTTAGGGTGTGTCAATTCTTTCTACCTCCTTCTCAGGACTCCTAAGTGACCACAACTGCTGTCAGGCAGCACACCCATGATCCAGCACTTCATGTCATCTCACTCAGCCCTTAGACAAGGAACGAGGCTTGAAGATAAAGCCTGGCCTGAGGTAACAAAGCTGGGGCACAATGGAGCAGGGCTGAGCACCAACCATAGCCACCTAGTTCCCTGTGTGGGCATGCACAAAAGGCCCTCTCTCCTGGCTGGCTCCCAAGGCTCTGTGCCGTGAGAGGTGTGAGGTGTGGGGCCAGGGTTCAGGGCCACAGGAAAGGATATCTGTACTGCAGCTTCTTGATGAGCTCCTCTGGGGTGATGAAGGTCCTGTAGGTGGTCAAGAAGGCCTCACAGTACAACACCAAATCTGGAGTCAAGAACAACTGATTAGTGATGCCTGCCTCACATATTTGCCATCCTTGACCACATGTCAAGAGCTGCTTGTCTGTCCTAAGACTCTGATGATTCAGAATCTTAATCATGGGCACAGAGAAAATAATTCAAACTCCTCAGCAGAATTTTGAAGCTAAATTATAGGTAATACTTTAGATGGCAGGGCCCAGGAACAAAAACCCTGGGAACTTCCACATATTAAGAGATCTAGGCTAAGGCTGGAGGGGCAGAGCTTGGCATGCTGCTGGCATACACAAGTGGGCACTCAGGTGCCATGGAAGGGTGGGGCCAGTTGGGAGTCTTCAGCTGGTGGCAGTGCCTCCTTTCCCGGGGACTGCTGGCCAATGAGAAGGCTCTTGACTGCCCTGCCCACGGGGCTCCTTCTGGCCCGGTGGGAGCAGCAGAGCTTGCTGCTCAAAGCTGAGGACAGGAGCCAGCTCCCACTTCAGCCCTTTGGATAAAATTGAAACTGTTCCTCTTGTCCAGCTGAGGCTAGTGCCCAGGCAGGTGTGGAGGATGGTCTGCTGCAGAAAAGCACAATGACTGTTTCCTGACTAGGCCTGTGTGGCACACTGCCTCATGTCAGCTTTGTGCACCTCCCTGACCACTGGGGACCTCTTCAAACAGCTGGTCTATTTTTCAAATTCTCTGCAACGTGACCATTTCTGTACTATTTTCATAATTTAACATATTTTGGGAAATATGTAAAAAGAGGGAAATGGTCATATATAAAAATAAAATTGGTGGGTTAGGGTTTCAGGATTGGGATGTTTTAATTCTTTACATAGCTGACTTTAATACTGTTGTCACATCACCTTTCAGTAACTTTCAAAGATATAGAAAGAAAAGGAGTGAAGGGGGGGCCAAGTGTGGGCTCTGCAGCGCCCTTTCCCCTTCCTGACAGAGGTCAAAGTCACGGCATCTTCTTTCCCTCTCCCTGCCGGAACAAGATGTGGAATGACTGTTCTTTTGCTGGCACAGAGTCCACCCAACAGTAGATCCCCTGCTTTTCTAGCCATTTCAGTGGATCAGTATGCTGAATGGGGTGGCCTTGTGCTGAGGGTCAGAACCCCATCCTATGACAGTGCCACCACTGCTTTAAGACTAAGGCTTCTGGACAGAACACATGCCAGGGTCTCCTTGTGGAGGCCATGAGTGAAATCCTGTCTAGTATCTGGAATAACATAATGGGTCAAACATCAGGAAAAGTAGAAACAGCTACCTATGTGTTCTCATAATGTTAATATTGTTGGCCAAGCTCTGCACTTGAAACTCACCCTCTGCTGGCCCTGAGGGTCCTTGGGGTCATCACTACCCTTCACCCATGGAAGACTCACACTGAGAGGGCTGGTTTCATCCCCAGGGTGGGCTCTCTGTACAGTTCTGGAGTACCAGGCCCAGGTTCTGATCCCCAGATCTGGCAGGGCTGTGGGGCCAGCCCACTCTGAGAGCTGTGACAGAGACCAGGGTCACTGCATAGAGTGCTGCCGCACCTTTCCTGTCTGTCTCAGTAGCGTGCACCAGTAGGATATCTCCAGACCCTCCACGGACGTCTGGCCCATCGTCACCCTGCAACAACAAAGCAAAGGAGGGCATGCAGCAGAATTTGGCCGTGAGACAGTCAAATCAGGAAGTCCTAGGCAGGGATGAAATGATCAAATTGCTGCCCTGTGGAGACCCCAGGTCCTGTTTCCTTCTGCTCTTCCTCACCCAGGAGGAGCGTGGCTGAGTGCAGAGGTGTGACCATCCAGCCCGCCCACCACCCCGTGCTCAGCAGACAAGACACCAGAACTCATCTGAGAGCTGCCCACACACCAGGGCATGTTGCACTGGGTCACAGTCAAGTTGAGGGACAATGACACCATTAAATCTCTCTCTCTTCACCAACCCAGGGGGCAGAGAGGTGAGGACGGAAGTTCTTGTGCTGGGTATGGTGGAATCCCACAGGGAGGCAGGCATGACTGCCACCAGCCATTCCCAAGAAGACTGTGGAGGTGGCAGGCCTATTTCCAAGTACATTCATGTTCCTAAAACTGCAGCAAGCCGCCCTAAATTTCTATCTGTTTCCCCAGGTGGAAGAAGTCACTTGTCATAATGTCACAAATTCTGCCACAGGGAGGCCTTAGAGGAGTGTAAAGCGTCACAAAGACGTTCAATTATGCCTGACGTTGCCTACATAATACTGGCTGCCATCTGCCAATTAAGGAATAAGTTTTACTTTCATGTGGGCAGAGAAGCTTTAACTCATAAACCTGCCCAGAGTCAGAGAGAGCTGTTGGCAGAGCCAGGAATGGGAGCCCAGGCAGCACAGCCTACGCCTGCCTGAGAGCCCCACACCCCCTGCCTCTGATCCTGAAGGAAATCAACCCTGCAAGCCCCCATGGGTTCACGGCCCTTAATTTTGGAGGTGTACCTGCCTCTCTAGGCATCTCTAGGGCATCATTGTTTTCACCCTTAGATTCCAAAGTCCTAAAATGTCTTGAATTTCCATCTAAGGGTGAAGGCAGCTATGCCCATGACCCAATTTTTCAGAAGGAATTCCTGGTAAGGGTCGTGAAACATCACTTCTCTCTGCAGAGAAGCTGGCTGCCTCAGTGCCCCTACCAGGCCTGTTCCGCTCGGCACAGCCCAGCATTGCGCAAAGGGCAGTATCCGCATGCTTGTCTGTGCATCTGTGTGTGTGCGTGCTGCCCTGAGGCTGGAGCCCAGAAACACAGTCACTTCCCTAGGAGTGGCTCAAGGCTATCACATGAAGATGTTCCTCTGTGTTTCCAGAATTGTCACAAGGCCCTCCTGACAAGGCACAGGGCAGAGGTGGCCGCAGTGGCCAGGCCTGGGATTTCTTAATCAGCCTGTGTCTCCCACTGAAATTGCAGTGGGTTATTGTCAATAATAATGTGAAGCAGCTTATGCGAATGAGCACTTGCCATGCTCAGGCTCTGTGCTGAGCACACTACACAGGGTTCACTGTTATAATCTCCTCCAGATTCCTGTCGTCTGGGGCTTAGAGATGTTAGGTGACTTGCCCGAGATTACTCTCTAAAAGTGTCAGGGAAAGGGACAGTACACTTTTTCTAAAAGTCCATCTATTTGCCCAGTATCCTCGAGCACCCCCAGTGGCCCAGGCATGGGGCCAGGATAAATGCTGTGTGCAAAGCCCACAAAATGTGGGGTGGCCACCTGAGGTAGTGGTGCCACTTGGGTCCTATCTGAGATACCTCAAGGTTATACTCTCCTCAAAGCCCCTTCACCCTCTTTATGGAGAGACTGCACAAGGCCTGTACTCACCTCCTGCTTGAGTGTCAGCCTTGCCATAATTTCATTGTGGTCAATGAGGGACAGCTCATCCACTTCCTCCTCCAACCGAGCCAACTCTGAACCATCTGGTGACCTTGAGGCCCTAGAGAGAAGTAGTTTGTGTCACGAGTGTCCAACAGGCCCCAGGGTCTGGGATACCAGGGGGCTGAGATAGTACATCCCTCTGCATGAGGGCTACTGAGGCACAATCACCTCTGAGCAGGTCCTCACAGAACTGCAGCTACAATGTGAAGCCCATGCCACTTCCCACCCTCCAGTACAGGGGGCTGGAAGCTAGGATGCAGACTGGATTTCTAGCACTGCTACTGATGAGCTGTGTGACCTTGGGACACTTCCTGCTCTCTGTGGATGCTCTGTCTGTAAATGGAAGGGATGGAGATTGGTGGCTCAGTTGGCTAGGCATCTGACACTTGGTCTCAGTTTAGTTCCTGATCTCAGGGTTATGAGTTCAAGTTCTGCCACTCGGCTCCATGGTGGAGCCTACTTTGTTAAAAAAGAAAGAAAAAAGAAAAAGAAAAGGAGGCCAAGAAGGTTGAGCTATTTAAATAAGTGATGGTATTAGTCACTCTTTGTCAAGGCCACAGTATGCACAGTCGGCACCCAAGGACAGGACAGCAAAAGGGCAAGTGGGTTGGGAGAGAGTTCGCATGGCTATTAATACCATTCCTCAAGTCTTTTCTAAGGGCCACCTTTCTGTGGTACTGAGAAGCAGGAACCAGGCAGACTGGCCCTTGTCCTTGGGGTGCTGGGTTGAGCAGGAGAGAGTGACATTAAAAGGAGCAGAAAGACCCAGCCAGTCTGAAGGGCAGCAGGCCCCTGCGGCAGGATGGACAAGCTGAGACCCATAGCCCTGAGCAAGAGTTTGCTAATGAAGGGGGAGAGGAGAGAACTGCCATCAGAGGGGGAACGCAGGGTGGTGAGGGGCATTCTGGGCACAGACAGATCCTGGGTCTACAGGCACCTTGCTTCCCCCCAGCATTTTCTTCCTTATTCCTGTTTCATTCTGATGTTTTTCACCAGGGATCCTGTGAGGCACACAGACTGGCCTTCTGGTCACAGGCCACACTTTAACCCTAGGTATCTGAGACATAAAAATTTGTGTCTTCAGCAAGACGAGGATGGCCCAGATCAAAACCACACACAGTCCTGGGAAGAATCATCTGCTTTGTGTCCCTTCGGGTCCAGTCTGCGAACTGGCCTTCGTGGAGGGAGGACAACATTTTTGTAATTGTTTCTAAGCTGTCAATGTGCTTACTCTTCTGCTTTTTCTCACGAGGGCCATCTGCAACTCTGAAAAATGGAGTCCCTGGGTTCAAAGCAGCTGGAGGCAGAACCTGTGAGCTCCTGTTGCCTGGCACAGACACTGTTTGCTACTAGGTGTTAAACTACAACACCCACCATCTTTTAATAGCTGGGGAGATCTTAGCTTGGGCAGACAGATCACGCAGATGCTAGGGGGACAGCACCGAAGAGTGGCCACGGGCTGGGCGGACAGCCCTTCTCAGCAGGCCCCTATAGGCTTTCCATTGTTTCTCCTGCCTCTTGCTATTTTATTTTTACTACCTCTTCCACAATTTATGCTTAGGTTTAACAAGTGGAAACTGCCTAGCTCTGTGCCCAGAACCCCAGAGGTAGCTGAACCTTGGCCTAGAGAGGGAAGAAAAGCTTGAACTTGCAGAACATCTCACTAAGAAGATGATGCCAAAATGAAGCTGCTGATGGCAGAGCGGATCTGCAGGTCCTGCACGTGGAGAAATTTACTACATATTTCTAAACCTGGTTAGGTTTGACTGGTGCCAATTGACTGGTGCCAATACTCAAAAACGTTAAAAAGATTTAAAAAGATGTACAGTTAAATGTGCTGACTCCTGACTGATCTGGGTTCCCCAAAAATAAGCTACACACGTTAACTTGAGGGAGAAGTGGGGATGTGGAGGATGATTTGCATATCAGATGATATGAGGGAATTATTATAAATTTCCTTAGGTATGATAATGGTATTGTAATCCAGTAGGCTTTTAAACTATTTTTGGAGGGCAGTCCCGGTGGCGCAGCGGTTTAGCGCCACCTGCAGCCCAGGGCGTGATCCTGGAGACTCTTGATTGAGTCCCATGTCAGGCTCTCTGTATGATGCCCGCTTCTCCCTCTGCCTGTGTCTCTGCCTCTCTCTCTCTGTCTCTATGAATAAATAAATAAAATCTTAAAAAAATAAAAAATCTAAAAAAAATAAAATATAATATTTTTTGGAGAGGGTACCTGGGTGGCTTAGTCAGTTAAGTGTTCAACTCTTTTTTTTTTTTTTAAGATTTTTATTTATTTATTTGAGGGTGAGAGATTGTGAGGAAGAGAGCACAAGCAGAGGGAGAGGCAGGAGAAGCAGACTCCCTGCTGAGCAGGGAACCCTGGGATCACAACCTGAGCCAAAGGTAGACACTTAACCAACTGAGCCATCCAGGTGCCCCTAAGCGTCTGACTCTTGATTTTGGCTCAGGTCATGATCTCTGGGTTGTGAGATTGAGCCCCATGTCAGACTCTGTCCTGGGTGGTGAATCTGCTTGTGATTTTTCTCTCCCTTTGCTCCCCATCCCCCCACCACATGCACATGCTCTCTCAAATTTTTTCCCTTAAGGTTTCATTTATTTGAGACAGACTGAGTACAGGTGCAAGCATGAGTTGGCGGGGGGGGGGGGGGGGGGGGGAGGAGCAGAGGGAGAGGGAGAAGCAGATTCCCCACTGAGCAGGAAGCCCAACAAGAGGCTCAATCCTGGGACACTGGGATCATGACCTGAGGCAAAGGCAGACACCCAACCCATTACACCACTCAGGTGCCCCAATAAATAAGTCTTAAAAAAAAATTAAAACATTTTATGAGGCACACTGAAGTATTTAGGGGCTGAGGGTCACATTTGTAACTTACTTTCAAGTGGTCTGACAACACAATATACACACCCCATCTAGAAACTCACAATAAAAAGGTGTTCTTTTGGGGGGAGTCTTTTACACCCCCTTAGTGCACTTGAACTTAGAAGAGGCCGAGGACGGTTGGCCTGGGGTTGGAAAAAGAAAACACTGTCATGGATAATTTTTAAAGTAGGTAATATCTGAGCACACAATCAGGAAATAACAGCAGACGGCATGCTAGAACCAATGGTGTTAAGGGTGGGATTATTAGTGATTTTTTTGGGTTTGCTCACACATTTCTGTCCTTGCCATGTTTTCTCCCTGAGTACTTATAATTCTGAGACTCAGAAGAAAGAAGAGAGAGAGGAGGCACACCTAAAGCTCTGCAGCCTGGCATGCTGATGGGCAGAGGGCTTAGTCAGTTAAGTGTCCAACTCTTCTTTTTTTTAGATTTTTATTTATTTGAGGGAGATAGAGTGTGAGAGAGGGAGCACAAGCAGGGGGAGAGGCAGAAGGAGAGGCAGACTCCGGGTGGGCTTGCAGCTTTCAGGGAACCTGCTCTACCTGCCCACTTCCTACCTGTCGCTGTCTCTGCTCTCCTTCCCAGGTGTGCTGCTGACCGACGAGGGGTCTCTGGGATGTCCATCTTTCATAGCTGGTGACTCCTGCAAAGAGAAGTCAGTGCTGGGTTTGTGATAGGTGCCCCAAGTTGAGGGATCTGCTTCTCAGCATTCCTGCCTGAAGTGGCCTCGGAGCTCAAGTTCCTATGGAGCAATCTGAGAGGTAAACGAGGTAACTGTGAATGCGGTTAGTTACACAGGTGCAAGGCCCTCTTTGGACTAGCATCTTGCCCTCGTGGACGGTAGAAGGTGCCCCTAGTTAGGACCTATGTCAGCTGCCAACCTGGATGAAGTCATCTGGAGCACATTCTGGAAGAAAGAATGGTGACCGTTGCCGCTACTCGGCCAAGCTCAGCCAAGCTCAGCCAGGTGCTGCGCAAAGAGCTTCGTCCCTCTTCTCACCTAGCCCTTACCCAGACCCCGTCCATTCACTGGTGTCACTGTGCCCACTCATACACAGACTCAGGCTGGGAACAATGAAAGGCCCTGCCCCAGACCACACGGTTAGAAGGCTGCAGCCTGCATTCAAATCCAGGGTTGTTTGCCTCCAAAACCTGTGTCCTTAACCACTGGGCCCTGCCAGTATGCGGCAAACCCTTGCTGACTTCCTAGTTAAACCAAGTCCTCACGACTGCCATGCTCAACTGCCTCTCAGTTACGGTTCCAACGAGTCTAGCTGCTCGAGCGCATGAGTACAACCCCCTCTCCTCCAGTGGCCTGGCCCTAGGAATCTGGGCCCACCCTACTCAGTGACAACACAGCTATCTGACATCCCTGGTCTGCCCCTGAGGCTGCAACAGAGACCAAGGTGGCATGAATACACAGATCATCCTCGTGGATAGTGCTCTGAGGTAAAGGTGGCACCGAGTGTGGTCATGGGTGGAGGAGGAGAGCCACGGGCTTCACTTTGTGGAGACTAAAATGGACGATGTGGGGACACAGGTCACCAGAGGGGACAGGTGAGGAGGGAACACCAGGGGAGAAATTGTTTCCACAGACAGGGTGGAATCCCACCAGAGTGAAATCTCCACATGTTCTCTAACTTGCTAACTAAAGTTGGCCTTGCCTTGTGTGGACATCTAAGATCCCGTGCAGATGTTGCTGGGGGGGGGGGGGGGCATTTCACCAGGAGTGACCATTCTGTTAATGGGCTGGGCCCTGTGAGCTGATCACCAGGGAGGACTCGAGTCCTCATGGCACCTCTCTCAAGGGACTCATTATTTTTGAAGCTTTTGAATTTGTTCACGTTTTGCTGCAGCAAAACCTGGCAAGCTGACTGCTCAGCAGAAAGGCTATATCAAGCAGGACAGGAGCTGACCAAGGGTGGCCACATCAGGTAGTTCTCTACACTCTCAGGAGGGATGTATATTAACACGGCAGGAGCTTCCTGCCAGACCCACCCAGCTTCCTCAAAAACTGTTCCTGGGGTGGGGGTCAAGGAGCGTGCTGCAGGTGGAGGCGGGGGCAAAGGCTCAGGAGGCCTGGTGTTGTAGGAGAGAAGGCTCCTGCCTTCTGGGTAGGGGACAGAAGATGGACCTCAACACTAGAAGATGGGATAGAAAGAAATCCTGGAGAGCAACTGATGTGTGGCCAGGCCAACACCATACTGCCTCTACAGATTTCCAGAAGACTCATCTGGCCAGGCCTGAAGAGTGCCACACGCAGCGAAAGCAGAGGGAGGATCTCCACCAGGAGCCACATCCTCTCCCCACCAGGCCATGCTGGTTCTCGGCGAGGCTGTGGGGCCCCAGCCTGCTAGTGACTGGGAGGCTCGCCAGGCAGAAGCAGGACCCAACCCTTCCAGGTCAGGCCACATGCACGAGGCAGCCTTGAGGTTACTTACTCCTCCACAATGAGCCAGCTCCCTGCTGCTCTGGCCAGAGGAATATAGATTGACGTATTCACCCTCACCAGCCTCCTCGCTGGTGCTTTCACTCTGGGGGAGACAGGATGAGAGGAAATGCACATGTGAAAGGCCCCCTCGCCAGCCAGCATGGCTCAGAGAGAGCAGCCTATGGGCAGGCCCTGACCTGGACACTCCTTTTGGGAGGAGGGAAAGAAGGCAGCAGGGGACACTCAGTGCTCCTTGGGAGGCTTCTCCCAGGCCAGAGACCACTACCACTTTTGCTACCTCCTGCCCCTGCGTTATAGAGGATGCAAGTTTCCTGCTGGCTCTTCTACAAAGAGGTCGAGGGCCATTCAAACTGCCCTTGAGGAGACACACCCCTCTCTGCGCTGTCACAGAGGGGCCTGCGGTGGGAACCCAGGGTCAAGGAGAGAGAGGAGAGAGGCAACACAATACAGGTCAGCACGCTGCCGCGTCCACCTGCCCCCAGCTGCCCCGCTGGGTCACACTCACTCTGCCCCATTGTCCTGTGTCCATTCCCACCTGTGAAGTAGCAGCCCTGTGCCTGGATGAAGTGCTCCATGAATGTAAGAGCACGAACAGGCAGGTCCTCCATCAGCACCACACAACTACAGAGGCAACCACCTCTGACCACTGTCAGAGTTCTCTGTCTGCATCTGTCTTCCAAAGGTGTTGGTAACGACAACCCTAACGACACACAACCCAACAAAAAACCAGGAGCATTTTCTGTCTCGTGCTTACGATGACCATCCCTAAATAGTCACTAACCCGTCTCTGGAAAATCAGATTCCTCATCTGATGGTAACTTTGTATGGAAGGCTCCATTTCTGTTCTGGAAACAGATAGGTGACTATTGCACCTTGTGACCCTCTGAGGACCTGGATCTAGCCTCACTGCTATCAGGGGTGAAGGTGGGGGGGTGGGGGGGGCAACTCCTGAGCAGCCATACTGCCTTCTCACGGGCAGCCTCGAGTGAACAGGGGGTGGGGGTGGGGGGGGCGCTGAGTTCTCACCGAAGGCGTCTGGGGCGAGTCAGTGAAAGAGGTTTCGGAAGGAAGGCAGACAGTGTTCCCGTGAAAGCTGCTCTCCTGAGAAGACGAGAGAGGCCCGTCCACGGTGCTGGGAGGCAGACTGGCTACGGTTGGCACCGTTAAGTCAGAGCTCTGAGACTGGTGAACAGTTGGGAAGTGTGGAGAGGCAGAGGAGGTAGGCGGAAGGAAAGGCTGAACGGAAGCGTGGTTGTGAGGCACGAAATCCTGGGAGTAGGACCTAAACACAGATTTATACTACAGAATCAAAGCGGAGGACAAACACAAAAACAGGAAGATGGAAAGAAGAAAACAGACAAAAGAAAAAGTCATTAGATTAACTCGGCTGAGCGGTGCAGCCTGCTCACAGTAATTCTAATGAGGACCACTGATCAGGCCAAACCAACCCCCATGACCCTCTACCTGAGGTTCCCTGACCCAGGCACGAGGACCGACCAGTGCCACCTTCCACACCCCAACAGTGGGATGTGGGCACCCCCAAAGAAGAGTAAGCCCCATGTGCCGTACAGGTGGTCCCACTCTCTGCTGTTAGAGAACTGAACCCACAGAACCCAAGCTGGGCCTCTGTCCCTTCAGGAACCTTGTGGCTAAATTCCATGTGTGTGGACACCTGGGTCCTATTCACTCATTTTGAATCTCTTTGGTTGTCTCTCTTAAAAATCAAACACTGGAGCCTTTCAAATACTGTAACCCACCTGAAATGCTTCTCAAAGGGAAGGGTTAGGCCTTAAAATGAAATGGCTGGAAGGACTGTGCTATCAAAATGCTAAAAACTTCGATGAGTTCATGTCCCTTCTTACGCAATCTTTTTTTTTTTTTTGAAAAAAAAAAAAAATGAAAGGGTCTTGCAATGCTTCTAGGGTGGTATCAACTACCCTAGAGATTTCAGAGAAATCTGAAGCCAGGCTGAGGGGGGACAGTGAACACTCGCAGCTTCTTAGTGTCACTGAGCACGGTCCAGGCCTGGGCTCTGCTGTGGGAGGGGCCACCAGGCTCAGAACCTGAGGACGTCACCATGTCCCACAAAGGGTCCAACAACCTGATGCTGTCACGGGATAATGGAATAGGGGCACGTGAAAGGGTCTGTATCCAGAGTCCTTGTTAGGGTTACTTGCGTGCTACTGATGCCAGCATCTGACAAGAGCCAAGTGCAACACAAATGTGCACACTGCTCATTCAAATGTTCTCTGCCTTTTCCACTGGATTTTCACAATCCATAGACAAGGAAAAGGAGGAAGAAATGAAATTTTAAACAGGAGATTAAAGCCACTCATATCCTTAAGTGGTTTGGCAAAGCTACACCATACCCTGGACTGAGAGTGGCCACAACTCAGGGCCCCAGAGTGCCTTTCTCACGCAGCTGGTTTACATCAGACTCAGGACACGTGGCCATGGTGCCTACTCACTCTTACACATTCTATTTCCCCATCTAACTCCCAGAATCAAGACCAAGCCTGTATGTGGTCAAAGAATCAGTGGGAAATGCCATCCGTGCTCTGAGCGAGAGATACTGAGGATTTAGTTTCCTGGTAAGAAGCTCCATGCCCATCCTTCTTTCTAAAACAAGCTGGATGAGGGGACCTCCAGCTCTGAGGCTCTCATACTGGGGGATGAGGTGCCCGAGCATCCACAGTGCTACGTTTCACTGACTCCAGGAACCACCCAGGCCTGGGGGATTTACCATAGGCCTTTCTGGGGATGGCAGTGGGGTAAAGTGTTTGGCTTTTGGGACTCTCTATTTCATCCCTGGTGAACGCTCTGCTATAGTGAGCCTCTATCACTGGCTGGGAAAGGCTACAGAAGACAGTGTGGGAATGCACTGGCCACTGGACAGATAGTAGGATCCAGTCCTAGGAGGCCACCCTGAGAGAAGCCCACGTTGCCATCTCAGGAAATGGCTTCAGTCGTGAGAACAGGAGCCAGGTTCTCAGATCTGTTGTCTACACATCTCCAAGGGCAGGCGTTGCCATGAGATCTGCTGACAGATGCCTATCCCTTGCACGTGAATTCAGCTAGTTTAAGATCAATGTTCAATGTTGCTGCCCAATGTTTGTGGCTCCCAAATTAATATGCTGAGATTCTAACCCCATAGATAATGGTATTAGAAGGTAGGGACCTCTGGGGGGCTCTTAAGACCTCTCATAAATGTGATTAGTGCCATATAAACAAGGATCCAGAAAGATGCCTTGCCCTTTCACCATGTGAGAATACAACAAGAAGTCTGTGACCGGAAGGGGGCACCAGCTGTACCTACAGCCTCTAGAACCATGTTGTGTATAAACCACCTAGTCTGCAGAACTGTGTTAGAGCAGCTCGAACAGACAGAGACATATGCCAGTTCTTTCAGGAGTCCTGACACTCACTGACCACCCCCCACCCAGATGTAAATTCACTTAGCACAGCAGTAACTGAGCACCTGATATATCTTTATAAGCGGTTCCTGCGTGATCACAAGATGTATCAGGTCTGATAGCACCTTCTCAACAAGCTTTGATTTGACAAGTTCAGGGTGGCAGACTCCCACACATCACAGGTGCTCTTTCCAGGAGATGGTACAAGGGTGATTGCCAAGGATACACTCACCAGGTCACACAGATGAGGCTCTGGGCCATCTCTTTCTACCCTTGTGACCTTGGGTACATAACCAAAATTCCTTTGTCTTTATTTATTTAAGTCATCTCTACACCCAGCATTGGGCTCGAACTCACGACCTTGAGATCAAGAGTTGCACACTCCTCCAACTGAGCCAGCCAGGCACCCTGGTTTCTTAGTCTTTAAAACAGGGATGAAAACATGGAATAATGTATGTTAATTATACATGAATAAAAAAAGGAATAAATGAAATAGGGATGAAAACAACAGCACTTCTCTCAGAGGATCTCTGTGCAGATTTACTGAGGTGATGCTCTGGGAGTCCTGAGTGCAGTGCTGGCGGGTGACAAGACTGTCTGCTCTCCTCCCTCGCCCTCCAAAGTACCAGTCTGGGAACCGCTATAAACAACAGAGCTGAGGTGTTTAGCGGGGTCTACTACATTTTTACTGAATGAAGACTAGAAAGGAAGCGACTCTAGTATTCTAACGGAAGTGCCTCGCAGCAGTGTCTGGGTTCTAAGTGTGGAAGCCGAACAGACTAGCTTCCCCCCCAACTCTGCCGCAGTGGGAGACCGGGGTCAGGAAACAGGCTCCAGACACCCCAAGGATGGATGCCCCAAGGATGTGCAATGCAGAGGAGGGGCAGCCACCATGGAGAAAGCAAGGAGGCTTGCATCTCTAGGACAAAGCCTCCCAGTCGGGCCTGCCCTTCCCTCCCTCAGCAGCTCCAGCCAGTGAGCAGCTCTGGTATTCCAGCTATGCAGTCCTGCTGGGACAAGAGCCAAGCTTGAAAAATACCTTTGAGGGGGTGGGGAGATGCAAGGCACCGTTCTCTAACCGCCACAAAGCACCCTCAGTGCCCCTCCTGCAACTCCACAGGGGAGGGCCACACTGGGGCTCATTGTCACACCACTGTCAATAAGGCGGGTCTCTATAGATATCCCAGAAGAGTATTTCCAGGCCCTTTAAGATCACATTTGTTCATATGGGCAGGAAGCAAGGCAGGCTGGCCACTGAGCAGAAACACCACTTCATCACCGCCTGGAGTTTATTCTAGGACCTGGCTGGTGCCTGGCTTTGCTTCTAAGAGAAAGCTGCTGCTCTCTCTGTGGCAGGGATTTTTATTTATAGCCAGAGTGACTGTTTGGGCTGAGGATTTTATACCATGAGGGGAGCTGCCTGGCTGGGAGATTGCAGATTTCTGTAGAAGATCTAGCAGTGCCAGAGCAAGTCCCCGGAAAGGAAAGCAGGAAGGGCTGCCTGGCTCCCAATGTCAGCCTTGATCACACACACATCAATCATAGCACCAGCAACAACTGTCTAGCGATGGTGGTGATGCCTACTGGTCAGATGAGGAGCTTAGGGTTTGCATGAATCCTCTCATTTAATCTACATGAAGGGCTGTTATGATTCTTATCACAAAGATAAAGAAACAGGCTGGCCACACACCTCGTAACACACAGCTTGGCTCCTAAGAGAGGCACAGGGGATTTCCCACTCCGTGAACATTCTGGGTGTGTGATAGGCCCCAAACATGTAATCCTATGGATCGGCGGGATACAGCCTACTACCTGGCTGGGAGATCTCCTTGGCTAAGTGTTTTGTGATGACCAGCAAGCAAAGGCAGCGAGCCAAGGCTTGATATACAAGCCAGGGATGCAGAGACATCTGCCCTCACAAGAGATGCACAAACTGGTAACCTGCTCTTTTCAAAACAGACACGTGAATGAACTGCCCTGAGTCTTCCAGGTGGAGAAACGATGGCTGACGACCCTGTAGGTTGATGGGTGGCCACACACATGCTAGAACACAAAGATACTCAAAGCTGGCCAGGCGTCAATTTTCAAAGACACTTTATCTCCATTATAGTCTTGGCATGAAAAATGACTAGGGATGCGGTCTGTGCTGGCAAGAAAGCAGGGAGAGAGATCTTTAAATGCAAAATTCTGGTTCCTCACTGTAACAGACATTCCACTTAATTCCTGTGACTGTCAGGAAGAATGAGGGTGCCAGGGGAGGCAGAGAGTGTGCCAGCAGCCAAGGGCCAGAGCCATAGGCCAATGACTCCGCTGGCTCCGCAGCTGCAGTGACTGGTGCTCCGAGCTTTGAGGAACTTTCAGCCCTCCCAATTATGGGTAGAGGCAATCATTTGAGTGAATGGACTTACTGTCGTAAAGTGTCTGGGAAGCACAGAAGTTGCCAGAGATTGGTCATTACTGCATACTCTTGGCTCCAGCAAGGCTTATGACTTCAGTGTTTCTGGATGCTGCTTACCAACACAGATAAGCTATTGGACTGCTGGTTTTCAGGCTTACATTCGTCTCCATCATTTGTGAGAAAACACACCCCAGGGCAGCTGCTGCTCTAGTGTGGTTTGGGCTTCCTTCCCATACGGAGACTCACTGGGAACCACAGCTCAGCACTGGTCCTGGGCTCACACTTCCTTTAAACCAGAGACTGTGAGTGTCAACACAACACCGGGCTACGTTATTTCTCTTGGAAGGAAGTCAAGCTTTCAGCCACTGCACAACACCCTCCACCATCTCTAGGGGACGGATCTCTTGGAGGGAAGCACGCCTGCTTTGGCTCTTAAGGGATGGAAAATCACCAGGAAGGACCCTTGATAACATTCCTCTTTATTCCCT